ATATATATATATATATATATATATATTAACCTTAGCTTCGTAAATGTTTCATGGACTTATTGAATTGAAATAGTTCATAATGATCCGTGTTGACGCAAATGTCATCCAGGTCTATCTTCCTCAGGCCTGATGGGTAACCGATTGGTTAAGGTCAACAGCGTTCGTCCGAAAAAAAGCATTATACCGAAACAAAAATACTCGTTAACTGATTTTACAGAATAATCCTTTCCATTCATTGATTCAGTTCGGTTGTTGTAATTTCAATATAATCTTATCATCACCCATCTTTTAATTATCGTCAGAATATATCCTTATTATCTTCTGCTCGAATCTGATATTTTGTTTTGCATCTCGCACTCTTGAAATCAACAAGAAATTAAAACATTTCTAAAGATTGGAAAAAAAATATTATTACTACTGTAGTGACTCAGCAAAGGGTCCATGATTTTGAGGAATAAGCAATTGGAGACAGAGGCTGCGAAACATAAAAATATAAACTTTAGACACAAGTGAAAAGGAAACACATTTCCCCCCATCCCACGGTCGGTTACGGGATAAGAAGCAGTTTTGTAAACAAAATTTGATTCTGATATAATGGAATATACATACACCTGTGTTCCCCCCTCACTGGAATATGATTGGCTAGTGTCCGTCATAAATACAGACGGACGTGTAGGTACGATAGAGCGTAAGTCTTTGGCGACGCCCATTGGACTACGCCATTGGCTATTCTATTGGTCTACACCTATTACCTGCGACTACGATGAGTACCAGTCGATTACTGCTACCGTTTACGACTTGGTTATAGTAGCCAAAACCTCTTTTTTATTAAACGAAAAAAATAAAGTAATCATTTCTAACCGCCTTTAAGCAATGATACAATTACACTAGTATGAAAACAAGCGTTAAACGATATATATTTTTTTTCAGTATATCTACATGTATAGCATTGGTTGGTTTGAGTCGCTGCTTAACACACAGTAGGTGGTGATGACAATCATATTACAAGCTAATTGTGATTGCCACTGGCCAATTAACTTCTCCTCAGACAACGTTAAAGTTTTTCGTTTCTGACTGGGAAAGAGGATGTGCAAATAGCTGTGGTTGTATCAAAGACGTACATTAATGTTGTATTTCATTCCAGAGATAATGATAAAATCCTTAGTTAAATGTTTTAATACATTGCATTTTCACTTTTCATGTTATACGTTTCCCACTTTTTTACTATTTTGGTAACTTGGAAATGAAAAATTGGGCTAACGTTCTCCGTTGGCATGAAGTGGAAAGACTATATTGAATCCATTACTAAACCAGCTGCTAAGAATGCTGACTCACTGTATCGTACTAGACATTTTTTTCTCTCTAGAATCTATCGGTATGTCTATAGGTCTATCATTATTCCCTGTTTAGAATATGGTATGGTGACCTGATATATACCTTGAGCTCCTTGATAAAATACAAAGAAGAATCAGCAATATCATTGCTTCGGATCTGGCGACTCGGCTTCAGTCACTCTCTCACCGTCGTAATATTGCTTATCTGTGACTTTCTATTAATATTTTCTTGGTAATTATTCAGCTGAGCTCATCGCTATGGTACCTAGACTTTTTGGATTTAAGCGCAGTACTAGATTGACGTCGCGATCTAATCTATTTACAGTTGAGCTGACTAGATGAAACCATACATTCTATAATAAGAGTTTTTTTCTCGGACTTCTCGCTTGTGGAACTCCCTTCTGGCACCATGCATTCCATCCAACTTTAAACTGTCCGCCTCAATACGCTTTCCTCTTGCGTCTTCCCGCTCGTTATTAATGATTCTTACGCACCCTGTAACCCCTTTTGTCTTAGTGGCTTTACTTCCTTGAATGGAGTGATACGGATTTTTAAAATATCATCTCGCCAAGTAAAGACTGAAGCAGTATATATTTCGTAGATCTTTCATATACTAAATATTATTAACAGATCTGATAGTAGTAATTTGTATATTTCCCAAAGACATTCGGTGTAGATACAACTGAAATAAAGACGTTTTGATTTAGGAACACATAAAATAAAGTCATTTATACATAAAACAGATATGGAGTACTTTAGTGAAACACAAAGAGGAACAAAGAAGGGAATCCAGTGATATATGAAATGTAATTCCTCACTCGAGGCTCGGATTGAGGAATCGGAGAGCCGAGATCGAATTCCAGTCGAATCCATTACATTCACTTATGTGATAATACCCTTGGTAAAGGTATGAATCCTATTCTCACCCCCTCCCCCAACTAGGGGAAATAACAGGAGAGACCTGGTTCTGTAGCCTTAGATGGCAATTCCTCTACCGCAGATAGAAATGGCAACCTACTCCGGGGAAAAAATCTGCCTCATCAGTCTTGTATCGAAAGATACATGATTGCATAAGCGTGTATCATGCGTCACACATAACTGACTGGCTGAATTCCTTCCTATATTTTGGGATTATTCTTGATAATTTGACTTAACAATATAATGGA